TCGAAACTAAAATGAGTAATTTCATGGAGAGAATGGAGAAACTGTTAATAGAAGATAGAAAAATGGGAAACGATTCCAGACAAACACCAACCCCGAGAAACCGAATAGAGTGCTACCGGTGTCATAAACTTGGGCATATGCAACGAGATTGTAGAGTGAGGATGTCCTCTCCATCAAGGGATCGTTTCCAACGCTTTTCGAGATCGAGAGACGCCAGCCCTAATAACAGACAGGGAAACGAGAACTAACCAGTATGGAGGGGCGAATGCTGGTTAGTAATGACGAAGCCCCCAGGGTTATTTACATAAAATCATTGGGCAGTCATTATAGAGGATTAAAATTCGAAGGACAAATTAATGGAGAATTGAAAACCATTACTTTTGATACGGGTGCTGAAGTTTCCATAATTAGAAGAACATTAGTCAAGTCTCGGGCAATCCAACCGCTCACTAGAAACCTGTCACTACGAACAGTCACCGGCGAATCTGCACCAGTTCAAGGAGAAGCTATGGTTGAGCTCACTTTTGGATCTACCACCTTCAGGCACAGGACATTAGTCGCCGATATAGAAGATTTTTATTTTTTTTTTGTCAAACACATTGTGTTTATTACATTACAATCTAGTCAGTAAGACTAATTAGCAGTTTTGTTTTAACCTAATTTACTATAAAGTTTACAATTCTTGAGGTTCACTCAACAGTTTTCCCCACTTTGCTTAAACTGTAAATCACAATTTTGATGTGTTTATAGCACTGTTTTGTTGTGTTTTTCAATTTCAGTTCACTAGCTCGAACGGCTTCACCCTACTCAGTCTTCTAACTAGCTCAGTATTGTCTAGGAGCTCAATCACTTCCACATTCACATGCCGATGTAGTCTATCTTCATGGCTTTTTGCGTACTTTCTTATAGTCTCTGTTACAGTATCAATTCCTAGTTCCCGATGTAGATCACTATTTCGAACGTACCAAGGTGCATTAACAATGTTTCTTAGTACTTTATTTTGGAATCTTTGAATAACTTGTATGTTACTATCTTTAGTGCAACCCCAAAGTTGAATTCCATATGCCCATAATTAGTACTCCACGACATGTTCTTGTGAATTTTGGATTTGTGAAAGGACAGCTCAATACTGGTGTTACTTGCATCTGTGTCCAAAATCAACATGCCTTTGTGATCAGGATAGGACAACACTGGGCTTGTACATAATGCTCCTTTCAATTTTCTAATTGCGGAATCGCATTCTTGGGTCCAATTGAATGTTGATTTTTCTTCTGTTAATCGATGAAGTAGAGCAGCTATATTGGCGAATCCTTCCACAAATCTTCGATAATAAGAACCTAATCCTAGAAAACTCCTTAGTTCATGTTTGTCGCGTGGTTTTGGCCAGTCCCTGACAGCATCTATTTTTCCTTCCATAACTTGTATGCCCTCTTCAGATACCACGTGACCTAAGAATTCCACTTTCTTTTGAAATAGAAAACACTTATTTGGATTGAGTTTCAAGTTGGCATTCCGAAAGCGGTCAAAAACTTCTTTTAGGTTATTGAGATGTTCTTGGAACGAATTTCCCATAATCATGACATCATCCAAATATACCAGGCAAGTTCTCCATGTAAGGCCTCGCAAAACAAGATGCATCAGTCGCTCAAACGTAGCTGGAGCATTACACAATCCGAAAGGCATTACATTAAACTGGTATAGCCCGCTTCCGGTACTGAAGGCAGTTTTCTCTTTGTCATCGTCATGTATTGCCACTTGCCAGTATCCACTTTTGAGATCCAAGGTGGAAAACTATTTAGAGCCCGATAGAGTTGTTAGTGTATCGTCTATTCTTGGGAGAGGGAAGCTGTCCTTCTTGGTGACGTCATTAAGCTTTCGGTAGTCCACACAAAAGACTCCCATCTTTCTTCGTAACCAATACTACTGGCGCGGACCATGGACTATTTGACTCTTCAATGACTCCCTCTTGAAGCATTTTATCAATTTGGTTTTCCACTTCCTGTTGCTTAGCTACTGGCATACGTCGTGGTGGTTGTCTAATTGGGTGTGCCAATCCAGTATCAATTTTGTGTTGAATTAAGCTGGTTCGTCCGGTTTGATTGTCCAGCACAAATACGTCTGCTTCTTTCAAAATGAAATCTGTGGCTTCTTGAAGTCTATCTGGATCGAGATGTTTCCATGATTTCGCCAAAGTCTGCATCAAGATGTCTGTATCCAATTTGGATTTCACAAAATGTCGCTTATCTGGTAGGTCACAGTTCGATATTTGCTTCACTGGTTCGAGAGCTCCAATAATGTCTCCTTCCTTTATTCTTACTGTTTCGGAAGAAACATTGGCAATTCTTATCATAATGTCTCCATTTGTTCTTACTAGAGTCTTTCCAACAAGAAATCTTTCTGGTTTATCTCCAATGAAATTACGTGTTATCCCAACGCAGCACCCAGGGTTTGTTTCTAATCTTCCGCAAATGATCTTCTCAGTACTTCCAGGAATCCTCACTAGGGTTGTGGCCAAGATCTTAACGGCATCGGATTCTTCTTGTGTTGTTAGGACAATTTCTTCATCACCAAATTTAAGGATCTTCATGGAAGGATCAAAGGAGAAATCATGTTGGCCGAGAGATAGTAGTATCTCTACTACAGCAGAACATTATCAAAGCCGGAACGAAATTATTGTGTCACCAGAAGAGAGTTGCTTGCCATAGTAAAAGCAGTCGACCATTTTCATAAGTATCTCTACGGACGCAAGTTTCTAATTCGAACAGATCACGCAGCTCTAAAATGGCTTTTAGAAATGAAAACTCCTGAGGGACAGCTTGCTAGATGGATTGAGAAATTGCTTGTGCGATTTGATGTTTGGGATACCTGAAGAAGAACGGAGAGAAATCCGAGATTATGCCGATGAAGTAAGGGCACGACTTCTGGGTATCCATGATTTTGCTCGGGAGCATATTCAGCTAGCCAGTGACCGGATGAAGACCAGATACGACCTGAAAGCCAATTCGGCGGGATTTCAAGAAGGTGATTTAGTGTGGCTGTATAATCCAGCTAGAAAGAAAGGAGTATCGCCGAAGTTGTCTTCAGCATGGGAGGGACCCTACAAAATAATCAAGAGGATCAATGATTTGGTTTATCGAGTCCAGCGCAACACCAGGAGTAAGATGAAAGTTGTACATCTGGACAGATTGGCGAAATATCATGGGCGCGAAGTTGATCGGGACGATCAACCTTAAGAGGAGGGCAGTGTTACAATAATGCTAAACGTCCGCCAAGCTGTCAAGAATCGATGACGGAAATACTAGAATCTAGCGAATTATTCTACTTTATTCTGGAAAATTAGATTCTAGATTTTACAGGAATAGATTTAGGGATATATAAGAAGGCCGGCATTGGTTTGTAAGTTAGTTTCAGTTCGTTTGTGATACGATTTAAATAGTGACAGTAAAGAGTTTAATTGTTGAGTTAGTTATTAAAGTAATTAGTGTCAGAGTGTATTGTTAAGTGGAATAAATTATTGCTGTGTTAATTGGACTTTGATTTTTGGAATAAACGAAACGAACAACGAACCCAAGATTTTTGTCAGCAGGCAACCCAAAGCCGCGACAATATTTTGTGTAACTTATCCAGCATTCGAAATAAATAGGAAAACTGGCGTTTATTATGTTGAATATAATGAAGAATAGATGAATAATAAAAATCATAGATAACATTCGAAAAAGAATATAATCCAAAAATAAGCTATAACTCAGACTACTATTCCAAAATTAATTTACCTTAATGTTGAAGACAATAAGAGAAAAATCACGACGAAAGATAGCAATAAGTATTCCAACACTTCGTTTAACTAAAATTAATTCACTATAGCCACAAAACTGGATCACAACTCACTCTCTTACTATCGACTAATTATCCGCCTCTAATTCATCATTGATTTATCCCTCGGCAGCCGACGACTCCGCTCCATAGCGGGTCGTTGTCTCTAGAATTGCCTAGATAATTCGCTCCCGTTCATTTCGAATTTGCTGAACTATTTGACGGTAACTCCGATCGGGAATTTTCCAGTCATCAAACAATGTTGCATATCATGCCCAAATTTCCCAACTTGAGAAATTTTTACCAATATAAAGACAATTGAATAACCAATACAGTTATTTTAGGTAGGTAATTTCCAAACAATGAAATTTTCATTAACAACTAGTTGCCAGTTATTTATAGATGAAATGTCGATGCATTTTTATCCTAAATCTAAATTTAGTAAAAAATTAATATAATGAACCTCAAACTAGGGCTTTAATTTACATACATTGTCAATGATAAGTCAAACAAAGTTTTTTTCAATTACCACACAATTAATATTTACATACAAATAAGATTGGTGCGTGCTTCAACCCCAAATGAAAACTAATCAGATTTTCGATTAAAAGAAATATATTTGCTTTTCCGGGAATTTCGGAGACAAAAAAAGTATATAAACTTTTTTTCGGATATTTCTATAGTCAGTCAAGTGATTTCTTGCGAATCATAAATACCTAAGAAACATTAAAAATGTATTCGGTTACAAACATTTTAATTGTTTTAAACATAGTTTTATGCATTATATTTGAAACATATTCATTTAAATTAACCTCTAAGGACAAAAAGCTCCAAGGGAAAGAGTATGTAACATTTTTTTAAAAAGTATTTTCAAAGAATTACTGTTTTAATTTTCAAAATTATAATTTTTTTTTTTGTCCCTCTGTTTATGAAATATTTATTCCAGACAAAAAGAACACAAGCGGACTGTTTTCCCTTTAACAGCGACCTGGAACATAAAAACAGCCCAATGTACTCAATACAGTTATTCATTTGAGAGCCTTTTGGATAAATACTCCATCGTCCATAACTCTGGTGTCAATTTTCAAGGAGAATCTGTTAATATTATGTACGATCCAGGAGAATGGCCTATCCTCATTGGTGGAATTCCAATGTAAGATGTTTAATGATTAACTAAATGAGAGCTACTTATTGAAAAAAAAATATATCCTTAGGAATAGCGGTGTACCTCAAGCAGGAAATATCACAAAACATCTAGAGGAATTCGACAAGGACGTAGATACTTTCGTAACGAATCCAGCCAACTCTGGGTTCGGAGTAATAGATTTTGAAAGTTGGAGACCAGTTTACAGACAGAACCCCTTCCAGCCTTACCTAAGTTATTCTGAAAGTATGGAAACGGTAAATCATCCTGGTTGGACATCTACTCAGATCAAAGCCGAGGCTAAAATAAAGTAAGAATTTTGCATTTGTGAAAATTCAAATACCTAACTAATTTTTTATAGTTTTGAGGCTGGTGCTAAAGTTTTCATGAAAGATACAATCGAGAGGGCTAGAGCTAAAAGACCAGACGCCCTATGGGGTTATTACCATTTTCCTTATTGCTATGCCAATGGATCAGTCACTAGTTGTAGCTCACAAGTTCAAGATGAAAATGACAGGTAAAAGAATCGAATTTAATTTTGAGTCACCCACTATAAAGCATTCGAATTTTAGTCTGAAATGGTTATTTGATGCCTGTGACGTTCTATATCCTTCGGTATATGTGCCAGAATCGTATACACAGGCCCAACAAAAACAATACGTCAAAAATAATCTTGATGAAGCTTTTAGAGTAAGAGATGAAGTTTCGCCAGGTACAAAGATTGTTCCTTATGTGATGAACAAATACAGGGATACTTTCAATTTCATGACAGAGGTAGGAAAGTTGAAGAGTTTGTTATTAATGGATGCCTTATTTTATTCTTCATTGCTCTAATAGGGAGATATGAATGCTACCATTGCAACTGTTGCTAGTTACGACGTAGATGCAGTGATCATTTGGGGCAGATATAGTGATGCTAACACAGCGACAACATGCGGGGATTTATATAATTACATTGATACGGTTCTTGGACCGATTTTGACACAGTTTTATTAATTATTGTTTAAGTTTTTTATACATTTTTATACTTTTCTAATAAAAAAATTGATAAAACTAGACAAACCTTTTGTTGATTTTTCTTGGAGATTTTGACTATATCATCCTAATTTCTATTATTTTAAATACTTATTTGGAAAAAAAATGGCATAGTGAAACAACCACCAGGTCTCAATAAAAAATGCAAAATTATGCCACAATATTAGTAAGTAAAACCTTAATGAAACATGTTGATATAGGGTAAATCGACATAACCTTAGCTACAATTGGACAAGGTTACCAAAACGAACCCTCTGCATCTGACCACAAGTACATAGAGTTCGAATTATGTCGATAAGGCAGTGGCGACTTTTCGTAATCGAAGTAACAGAAACTGGCCTCTATATCTGATCGCTTTCGAGGCCAACCCGAGAGAAATCACAGGTATTGACTTATGTGTGAATCAACTTCACTTAAGAGTGCTATCAAAACCGCTTATGAAAACAACTGCCATCTTGAGACCAAAGGAACCAAGAAGGAAGTACCATGATGGAACAGTCACTTAGCTAAACCTCAGAAAACAGACAGGGGAGTTTATAACGTACTTTTTTTGGCAATTGCCTAATTATACTGCATACGGCTAGTCAGCATCAGTCCGGAGGCCATGGGTCTATGGGTTCCTTGTATACAGCTTACCTTTGGGCGCCACCAAGTTAATTATGACTTAACTAGGAAGATTACTTATTGATGTTATAACAAAACCTGTACAATTGGAGAGCTTATCAATAAAACAACTAATTAGGTACAAAAATGTATCTGGCTTCTTTATTAAAAATAATAACAATATATAGGGATAGCCAGGAGATTATGAAAAAAATGTATAGATTAATGCTTGTACCAATTTATAAATATTTGATTATAAAAAAAAAATAACAATGTAAATAATGAATATATGAATTTAAAATAAACATGACTAAAACTGTTTGGTATTTACACTTGTGAGTGATAATAAAAACACAGTATGGGTTACACTTTACCAATAGGCAAATTAAACACCAGAAAGGTGGAAGTTATTGTTTGGGCAACCTCAGGGTAAAATTCTAGAATTTTATTTAAGGGGCACTTACCGAACGTAAATCAGTATCAAGTGATTTATATAAGATTTGCCTAAATAATAAAAAGTGCAACTTACATGTGTACAAGTGTTGATTATCTTCAAAGGTGTGTGTAAATCCAGAAGTTTTGAAGGGATATTATCTACAGGTTTGGTCTCACTGTAGATAGACTATGGTATGGTAAGTGAGTCTTATGGAAGTCCTATCCACGTTTTATCTGTCGTAGACTTAGAACTCAACGTAGTTCAATCAGAGTGCTACCAAGAGGGTTGCTGAAGGGAGGCTACCAAAGCCCAACTAAGAGCAATCTAGATCTAGTCTAGAATCTCTTTAATTACAGCCTAGGAGCTGTCTAGGTATAGCCTAGAGTCTTCCAAGTATAACCTGGCACTAGGACTGGGAGTAGGAGTAGGAGTAGGAGTAGGAGTAGGAGTAGGACCCTCAAATTGAGGGATACTCTAGACCAAAGGTGAAGTCTTAAACTTCCAAAAGCTGCTCGGAACAGTCCGAAACAGAATCCAAAAATGACCAAGGGACGACTCTAGACAATTATCAACAAGAAATTAGTCTAAAACTTGAGCTCCCTGGCACAAAATTCCAAAAAGTCTCGCCCCAAAAAAAATAATTCAGGGCCGAGGCCCGAGACCGGACGACTACTCAGCGTGAGGTCGCAGATCAAAAGGGCAGATTTTCCCTTCTGGATTTCCGAAGAAAGCTTCCATTTGTCAAACTTCTAATTTTGACATTGATGAAAATTTAGAAAAGGACGTGTTCAGTTTCACCCTGAAAGTACGAACTGAAGGTTTGGTGGTGTAAAAATGACTGATGAATATTGAAAAATGCCTATAGAACATATATTAAAAACTAGAACAGGTCAAAGAAAACGCCTAGACAAAACAGCTGTTCAATGACATGATCGAAATGAAAAATCAAAAGAAGTAAACAACAATTTATCATAACCTCAGATTATTTATTAATTGGATTTGCAAACAGAGATGATGAAAAAATCTCTCCTTTATATAAGATTCTAATCAATAACAGCGGGCCCTGCCGTACCGAATCAAACCTTCCTAGATCAATTAACCAAACTTGCAAACCTGCACCAAAAAAAACTTCAGTAGAAGGCAGTACTCAAGGTAACTAAATCTGGGCACAGAAAAGATAGTTGTTTCTTCATTTATTCCTTTATAGTTCTATTCGGAACCATATCGACCAGAGCAAAACAAGGTAGCATATTAGCCAAGAAATTGAAAACGTTACAAGTTCACGACAACTGGTAAAGAGACGCTGGAGGCTCCCGTTCAAGTGCACTTTTCGGGACCAAGAAACAGCAACCGGAAGATCACCTACCAGAAACAAACCTGACGAACAGGGCGAGGAGGAATGACTGGAGAGTAGCAGCTGTGATTACCAATCACGACAAAATCAAAGAAGCCGTTAGCACATTTGAACCCTACAAGTCACTGGAACCTGATGGAATCTTCCCGGTTCTTCTGCAGCAGGTACTAGACATACTGGCCCCACATTTTTGTAGTATCTTCCGAGCATGCCACGAGCTATGTGCCAGCAGCATGGAGGACGCGAAAGCGAAAGGTGCTTCAGCTAGACAGAGGGTACCTAGCACAATAATCCTTAAGGCTGCAGTATAAATAGGGATACCAGGAGACAGGGTAATTTGTTTTGGATGGATGTGCATCTGCTATAAAAAATTTATTTATTTATGGACGGGAAATCCCATAATAGCATACAGAATATCTATATACAATAATAATTAGATGTTCAGACAACAAATTAGTTGACAAGAATTATAATAGAAAAACAAAAGACCACTCATCAACATGATAAGATGGCGAACATTACTTACAATAAAATTATTTCTTATTACTAAATATCACATTGACAATTAATAGGTACAGGAACTTTGTTTAAGGAGTTGAGCTCTCTTTTAAAGTCTTCACGAGCACTGAAAAAGTCCAGGGTATTGAACTCATTAGAGATTCGGGAAGCTCTGGTGTTACGTACAAATTTTGCCTTAGTACGTAACTGAGATTTCGAATGAATTCGGTAATGAATTCAGGTATTTGTGAGAGTATTTATGAGGCTTTATACCTAAGGTTTAATATTTTTCGGTGATTGATAGGTTTCTCATTGGATTTTACTAGTTTCCTGCCTTTTTGATTGAATACGAAACAATATGTGATTGTTGAACAAAGGTATATTTTTCGGGGTAATACTGAGTTAATTCTTTGTAATCAGATGACAGAGTAGTTTTAGGATAATAAAGCCCTACTACTAATAGGATAGAAATCTATTTTATTTAGCTTACGAAAGTTGTCTAAAAAGCCCTAACTGTTGATGAAAATGGTTGTTTACTTCCAAATAAATATCAATTGGCAACACTTACGAGTCTCGTATTTTTCATTATTAAAAATTGTGCAACACCACAAATCACTTTCACACCCTTTAAATCGCCTTTTCACCCTTATTTGCACTAATGTTTACATTTTCCCGGTTATTTATTTTCGCCGAATAAGTGTAGTTATGGGACACTTGTTGATCCGTTTCAGGCAGGGCCGTTGCCGAGGTTTCTTGACCTTTGTTGCTATAGCATTGCTATCTATGAACAGGTGGTTATTTTGATGGTTTTTAGACCAAAGACTGGGTAGATGATGATTACTAATTAAATAATTAGTGTTAGGGGAGCAAATTGGATAACAATTTTGTGTTTTGTTTGTCATCGATGTGGTTTGGGTTGTTCGTTTCAAGCCGATTGTCTCGTTTTTCTGGGCCGGTATTCTGGTCCTCGAAAACGCTAACCGCTTTTCAGTCGCTCAGCACTTTATATGTAAATTTACATTTGAAATGCCGAGCGACTAAAAAGCGTTGAGCGTTTTCGGGAACGAGAATACTGGTCCTGATCAAGACAGGAAATCTGGCGCCAGAGGGCATCTTGGAAAAAAAAGAGTTCTGGGAAATTTTTCATATGAGCTCACCTAATAAATTGCCGAAAAAGGGTCGTTCTCTTTAAATTCGCACGTTGAGCAGGTAACAAGTGGCAGATTTTACCAGCGGTTCTCTTTGCTGCGTTCCTTGGAACATCCACCATTTGTGGGATTTTAGAGGCGTTGGGAACTCAAGTGGTTGCTGGCTTAATTGGTTTCCGGGTGAAAACTTGGATTTGGTCGTAAATCCCCTTATTTGTAAGCCAACCACTCAGAATTTTCTGGAGACGAAAATTTACGCCATTTTGTTGAATTGTCGGTGCGAGAAGCGAGCACGTTTTGTTCAACTAGAAGCCCGAATGGTAACCAGGTAAATTTAAACGTTTCTATCAATCTGAATTTACCTTTTCGTTATCAATATTTAGATTAGCATATCAGTAATTTTGTAAGTATTTGGGATTCTATAAAAAAAAAGGCAATTTGACCTGCAAGAAAGCCAATTTGTCAATATAAAACTCATTAGTCACTTCCAAAAAGACATTAATGGCCTTATTAATTAAGGGTTTTTTTTTTAAGGAAACTTACAGGTTTCAGGGAATTTTGCTACTTTAATTTCAATCATTTCATTTATGTACCATTTGAGGGTTGGGATTTTGACTTCATAAATATGAAATGGTTCTAGGAATTTGTACTCTTTCAGGGTTTTTAGATTTTACCTTTCCATTGGGTTTTCCCTTGCGATGTTGGTTAACGTTTGGAAGGTGAGGTATTAGAGTACCCACATCACTGAATCCGAAACCGTAATTTACCCTTACTATTTAAGAAGGGAAGTCAAAGAAGTTGATGGGGTCGGTTATTAGGGCTGTGAGACTGTCATGAGACAGTAATGAGAATGAATGTTTAGACTGCAGGGAGGACCAAAAGGGGGTGATGTACCCGTTGATTTATTAATTTTAGAGGATAA